TTTAGACTTTAGGGGTTTGGGGTTTGTTTGTTTTTTGCAAGGCAATCTGGGTTAAGTGGCTTGCCTGGGGTCACACAGCTAGTAAGTGTCAAGTGTCTGAGGTCAGATTTGAACTCAGGTCCTTCTGATTCTGGGGCTGGTGCTCTATCCACTGGGCCACCTAGTTACCCTTAGACTTTAGTTTAAAAAAAGAATCTTGGACTTGGGCTTCAAACCTTAACTGGGAAAATTTTTTAACCATGGTGCAGACATCAGAGATTTATCTCCAAGGCAGAAAGTTGTGTGTAGGAGTTTCTCCCAACAACTTCAGACTAACCCAGTAGGAAAGCAATCAAATGCCCAGAAGCCTGCAGGTAAGATTGATCACCTTCAAGATAGGGTGGGAAAATTCCCATAATATCAGAATAATGGGCTTTATTGGCCATCTACTCTTGCTCTTTCCCTGGCAATTCTTCCTATAAAGTGAGAAAAAAACTCGGTAGTCCAAACGTTACAAGGCAGTGGCCCTCTGAAGATAGTCTAACTCTGCCTGATTTGTTTTCTTCTGGGAAGGATTTGGGGGGTGAGGGGTGGGACATGAGTTCTATGCACCTGCTTCCTTTCTTACCTGATATTTAGTTATATTAGAATGACATTATGTAAGACTTTTACGGTCTCCAGATGTCCTTCTCTCAGAAAACTCGACAGATGGCTAGATGTCATTGAACTGATCCCAGTCTTCTGGGTGAAGGCAGTGTGTCTTACCTCTTTGTAATATTGTCAATAAATAAATTGGATTTTCTAAGCCAAGCTGATCATTTGCTCCTAGGATTAAATATGAAACCCTCTGTTTGTCATATAAAGTTCTTCACATCCTGGTCCCTTGCTATCTTTCTTGTCTTCTTATGGGTTACTTCCCCTGTACACTTTATAATCCAGTCATATTGGCTGACTTGCTCCTCTAAAGCACATGGCACTCCATTTCCTGTCTATGTACCTTTGCATAGAGCTGTTCCCCATTCCTTCGATGCTCCCCTTCTTCACTTTTGCGTCTTAAGCTCTCTGCCTTCCTTCTAGACTCAGGTCAAATTCCATCTTCTTCAGGAGGCCTTTCCCTCTGCTAGTACCTTTCCCTCTAGGATTATATTTCACCTATTGTGTGTACCTCATTATTTTCATGCTGCTTTCCCTCATTAGACCATAAGCTCCTTGAGGGTGTGGACTCTTTCTTTTTTTTTTTTTCTTGTGTTCCCAGCACTTAGCATATGTCTGGCACATAGTAAGTGCATAAATAAAAGCTCTGTTGGCCCCCTGCTGTGCTTACAATTCTGGTAGTTGCCATCAGGTAATACCTTTTATTTACTATTGCATAACTACTGCTTCATCTCAGTAAATAGAATTTCCATTGTCAGGAGTAACTGAGAGGCAGAAATAGAATGTAGCCAATTGTGTTTTATATATAAATATATGTGTGTGTATGTAGTGTGTGTGTGTAAACTCTGTATTAGAATTCCAAAAAAAACCATTAAAAATAACTACTTAATACAATTTGTTTTACAAATTTAAATATACACACACATGTCTCTGAGTTTGAAGAAATGCAAATTGCTAGATTTAAGTTAAAGACTTTTTCTTAACAAGTACAAGTATTGTCAATAATGTTTAACTTTGGCATTCATTTCTACTTCAGGAAAACTTTATTGATAATGATTCTAGGCAGATGGGTACTTACCTGTTATTTTACATTTTCCTGATGTCTATGTTAATTATTGACAGAGCTCAGTTTTCACTAATAAGATAATCTCTCTCCTGACATACAGCAGCCTTGTTCATCTCAAGGATGCCTCAAACCATTGTTTTTCCTACCTTGCCTGTTTCTTGATCTTTCCTCTTCCAGGTGTTAAATAGAAAAAGTGAAAAGATCATACCAGTCTTTTTCCTCTTTGTAATTAGTTGCCTTTCAATGAGGAAAACTTTAATAATCAAATTACTTTAATAATCAAATTACTGCTTTAATAATCAAATTACTAACTCATTTAGTTATCTTTTTCAGTACTCAATTACATATAAAACAATTTTAACATTATTATTTCGAAATTTGAGTTCCAAATTCTCTCCCTCGCTTCCCTCCCCCTTTCATTGAGAAAGCAAGCAATTTAACATAGATTGTTCATGTGTAGTCATGTCAAACACATTTCCATGGAAGTCATGCTTACACAGCTATTTTTTTAAAAATCTGCTTCAAAGAGAAAGCAAGAAGAAATGTACAAACATTTTCCCCAGAACATCTGAGGCATACTTTCTCCTACACCACCTAGTCTCTGAGGAAATAGGTTTAAAACGTAGCTCAGTTCTTATATACCATTGGCCCTACAAGTTCATTTCCAGATGTAGCATGACTCCAAGATGAAACTTTCTGTTGGGCTAGCATCTAGATCACTCCCAAAAAAATCATTCCTCACTCTCTGGGCATTCAATGCAACACTGGCTGAGAAATCTAGCCTGCACTCTGACTCCCACTTTCTCTCTGGACCTTTTGAAACTCCTAAGGTTGGAGATTCTAGACCATTGACCCAACCTTCACAGGATGCCATGAATAAAAGAGTCACTGAGAACCCTCAAAAATGAATGAGGCCAGAAGTCAGTAGATGAAGCCAGTAGGCCTTTTTGAATGCCTCCAAAGCCGATCAACACATGGCTAGCTGACTGGAACCAATAGGGACTATTTATGCATGCTCCACCGTCTGTCTCTCCAAGACATTTATGCATCTCTGCAGTTCTTCCAGAAATATGTTTCCCAGGTCCTCTATGTGGAGAGTTGTCATCCCAGGTTCTTTTCCCATGCTCCAGATGCCCCATACAGTCTGATCATCATTTCTTCCCCTGATAGAACTTTAAAAACCTAAAATGCTTTTTGTCATCCTTGTCCTTGTGAGCTTTTCTCGCCAGCCACAACTTCTTCCGAGTGTTAGGGTTCTGGACACTGTTCTTAAAGAACCATGTCACATATCCTCGGTTACTTGCCCTTCCATCATCTGTACATATTTTTAAAAAATGGAAGCTGTTCAATGAATTACTTTGCATTCACATTCATCTCTTTCAACAACTCTAAATTATTTCTCTTTGTGTCTTCAGAACTCCAGTCTTAAGAATTTTCTACCTCTCCTGGACTAACATTTCCTATTAGGATTTTAGTCAGTGGGAGCCTATCTGTCCTTTCTTTGAACCTTTTGACATTAGCTCTCTCCACATCTAGACATTTAGCCTCTCTGGGCCTTAAGTTTCCTCAATTGTAAAAATGGGAACAATGGTACTTACAGTACCTATCTTACAGGATTGTTGTGAAGGAAGTACTTTTGATTCCTTAAGGTACAATATAAATTATGATTATTGAACACTCCCTAATAAAAGCTGTGTAGTAAAATGAGCACTGAATTTGGAGTCAGAGGACCTGTGTTCAAATTCTGGCACTGCTACTTCAGATCTGTGCAAATCTTAAGTAAGTCACTCCTTTTCTTTGGACCTGTTTCCTCTTCTCTAAAATGGGGGCATTGGAACAAATGACCTCCAGGGTTCTTTACAGCTCTGTGATCATCTGATAATGTTGCTAATTTTGCTGAGCTTGGTTTTTGGGGGGAACTTAATTTTGGTGTAGTGTAGTTGGTTCACTCTCATGTCCTGAACAAGAGATGCCATCTTGGCACTGAGGACTAATCGGGGGAGCAGAAGATCTTATGAAAATTTCAATTCTAGCTCTATTACTGATTCTTTTGAAACCATTAGGCAAATTTTGTAAATCTCTCTAATACAAATATTGTTAATGAGCATCACAGGAGTCTTAATGAGGAATGAGTAAACAGGAAGAAAAAGTACTCGAGATTTTGCGAAGTATTGAGGTCCACGATAGCCAATAAAATCACTTAATCTCTCTGATTCCTCAATTTAAAAATGGTTATAATAAAAGCAACTGTGTACTTCAGAGTTCTGAGTGTTAAATAACATAGTCCATGTAAACTGCTTTGTAAGCCTTAAAGCATGATATCAGTATCAGTTATGATTCTTATCATTAATAATTTCAATGAGAGGAGAAGAATGAATACGTAGTTATTCTCTGGAAGTGGAGAGAAAGCCCTGGGGAGCTTCCCTTTGGAATCTCATAAGCCAATACATGTTAATGTTCTAATATCACTTTGGCAGATAGAGAAAGTTTGTCACTCAGGCTGAAATACAAAATTGGTACAATTCATTGGCATATGCCATTTGGGTAGCTGGAGATAACCTATGATACTGAATCACAAAAGACAGATGTGTGGCTCTACTGGAAGCTATGAATAGATGAAAAAGGAGACCATTATTTTGAAAGTCAGTCCACTTCACAGAGCCCTATAATTAATGGTTAATAATTGCCTCTGTGCTGTGAAATGACTGCTAGACATGGATATGGGTCCAATCTCTAATGTGTACTAGCTATATGAATGTTGGAAAATCTCTCAACTAATCTGTGCCTAAAATTTCTTCAGCTGTAAAATGGGAATGTTACCTTAGAGGGTTGTTGTGTGGATCAAATAAAACAATCTGTGCAAAGTGCTCTACGGATTTAAATAGCTATATAAACACAATAAATGGAAACTTCTGATTATGAGTATTAAGTCCTTTCACCAGCTGACTCCCCTTTGAAAGGCAGGCCATACTGGAAAGACCAACGAGAGTAAGAGTCATTGGACTAGATGATCTCTAAGGTTTTTTCCAGTTTTAACATTATGTGATTTTAAGACTTTAGCGCTCTCATTGTTAGCTATACGCTCCCTTGCATGTTGCACTTTTTAGCCTAAGAAATCTTTCCATCTCTGTCAAATGGTTCTCTTTTACATCTGAACAACCTCATTTCTCTCTACCAAACCACTGCTTCCTTCAGAACTCTACTAGACTTCTTTTGGGGAAAGTCCATTCATGTGTTCGTAACTGCTATATATCGACTGTCATCTTTGTTTTCAGTTTTGGTGGTTTCTGTTTTCTTCTAGCTATGGAATTGCTGGCTCTACCAATGTCACTGGTGACCAAGTCAAGAAGCTGGATGTTGTCTCCAATGACTTGGTTATTAACATGCTAAAGTCATCCTTTGCTACATGTGTTCTTGTATCAGAAGAAGATACAAATGCCATAATAGTGGAACCAGAAAAAAGGGTAAGTATTTGTTCACTTCTACCATGAAGTTGGTTTTGTATTATATTCTCTTCTATGTTTGAAAAAAATCCATGATTTCATTGGTTTGGCTTTTCCTAGTTCTCTTCCTCCCTTGCTGGCTATTCTTTCTTCATAGAGAAACCTTTCTCTGCTGGGTCATCTTTCATATCCTGTCCTCTAATTGAATATACTCCTAAGGTTCTGCCCTCTGCTCTTCTCTTGCTATACTATCTCTCTGGATCTTATTATTTCCCATGGATTCATCTTTTAATTAATAGATTAATAATTATATATTAATTAGTCAACACACTTTAATTAAGCACCTGCTATGTGCCCAACATTGTGCTAGGTTCTGGGGATACAAATACAAAAACATAACCATCATTGCTCTTAAGGGTCTTAGATTCTATCAAAAGAAACACATGTAAATGAATATGTAAATTCTACGTATATGTACATATATGTGATATATGTATGTGTTTGTGAATTTGTATATGTATGTACATGTAGCAGGGCTTTCACCCTAAACCATCTATAGCAATTTTGTAGATGAGAATGTGAGTATGTGGGGCAAAGTAATACTTAAGTGCTCTTGAGAAAAAACACATCAAATTTCCATCTTTCATCCTGCTACTTAACTCATTTTTAATTATAATAGGCTCAAAGGCAATTAAGGGTTATACTCTAGTATTACCTCATAAATTACCACAAATATAGATACTATCTCATTAATTAGCTCTGAGGCCCAGCCTGATTAATTACATAGAAGTATGTATACATATATTTATATAATTATGTGATACATTTATTATACACAGGTATATATATATATATATAATTATATATACCTATGTATGTGTGTACACACATAGGT